TTTAGGTGGCGAGGCAGACGAACACGCCAGAGCACCGCGTCGTCTCTGCATCGGCTGAGGAGTCCAGGGAGCGACGGAGGAGCCCTCTGGAAGACCACCGCGTTCCGGTGCTTCCAAAGGTGCCAGCAACAGAGCAGCAGGAAGGTTGGGCCCGTCCCCTCCGGCACCCGTGGCGGCGCGGCGAGGAGGTGAAGCGAGCGGACGGAGGTAGTCTCCAGGGAGCTCTTCCCGACCACAGCCCAGAAGCGTCGGGCGAACGCGCATCCGAAGATGAGGTGATCAGCAGTCTCGAGGGGGGCGGAGCAAAGGGGGCACCCAGCTCCGGCAGCATCGACGATGTGCTTGCGGAGGAGGACGTCCCTAGTGTGGACCCTGGCCTGCACCAGAAGCCAAGCGAAGAAACGGACCCGGCTGGGGGCGTAGTTGCCCCAGACAAAGGTCTCGAACGGCACCCCCAGCCCACCAAAGTGGCACAACTGGTAGACGCCGGCCGACGAGAGTAGCGCGCCCTTTGCGCAGCCAGGACGCAGAGACCGCTCGTCCGGCGACTCCGATAGGGTCACGCCAACGATGATCCGAAGCAGCTCGGCACGTTCGCGCGCCCCGGCATGATTCAGACGCGGGACCAGCAGTGTGTCGATGCCGAGACTCAGGACTTGGGCCACCGAGGCTTTCGGCGCGGTGGTGTGGGAGAACAGCGAAGGCAGCCGCCACACCAGGGCGCCTCCTGGGAGCCAAGTGTCCAACCAGAAGGCAGTGGAGCACCCGTCCCCCCAACTGGACAGCGGAGATCGCCCTGTAGGTCGGCATGAGCCCTGCCAGGGCAGCCCAGTGGGAACCAGGGAGGGACGCCGCCACCATCGGGGTGAGAAGGGAGCGCCCAAGCTCAGACCAAACCCAAGTGTCCCATGGCGAGTCCTGTTGGGAGTGGAGGCGGTGCAGCAGCTTCAGCAGGAGAGAGCGGTTCTGGACCGGGAGAGCACGCACCCCGAGTCCTCCCTCGTTCTTGGGGCGGACCACCCTCTCCCAGGCAACAAGGCACTGGGCCCCCGACGCCTTATCCGCAGCAGCCCACAGGAAGGAACACCGAAGAGCATCCAGAGTGTAGGTGGGCAGCGAGTCGAGGACGGCGTTGAGCAGGACAAGACGACCCCCAAAGGAGAGGAGCTGCGCTCGCCATCCGGACAGGTAACGCTCGGCCTTGGCGATGAGAGGGAGGAAGTCGTCCATCGTCAGCTTGCGGTTGGAGAGTGGAAGCCCGAGGTAGACCTGAGGGAAGCTCCCAACCTGGCAGCCCAAGACATTAACCATGTCCTCGAGATCACCCTCGGGGACGTGCATGGGCACAACCGTGCTCTTGTGGAAGTTGATGACAAGCCTCGTCGCCGCCGCAAAAGCATCGAGAATGCTTTTCAACCGCCTCACCGCCCCCAGCCCCGCCCGGAGAATGATGAGGGTGTCGTCGGCGTACTGGAGCACCAGCGGCGGCTTACCAGCCACCAGCGGGTGCGCCATCCCCCCGTCTTGCTGGATCATCCGTTGCAGCACATCCGCCACAAGCAGGAAGAGGTAGGGGAGATCGGGTCGCCTTGGCGCAGCCCCTTCTTGCACGTGATCCAGCGCCCGGGGACCCCGTTTAGAAGGACCGCTGACATGGAGGAGCGGAAAATGGCGTCCATCCAGTCACACCAGCGCGCAGGGAACCCCCGCACCTCCATGATCCTCCGAAGGCTCTGCCAGCTGATGGAGTCGAAAGCCTTCGCGAAGTCAAGCTTGAGGACGAGCGAGGGTGCCTTCCTGGAGTCACAACATTGCACAATCTCCGCAGCGTAGACGAAGTTTTCAGAGATGCTTCTCCCTTTGATGAAGCCGGACTGGTCGGGGTCAATTAGCCCCGGGATTTGATGCTGAAGTCTGGTAGTCAGGGCTTTGCATACAAACTTGACATCACAGTTCTGGAGCGAGACCGGCCGGAAGCCCGCGGGCGAGAGAACACCTTCGCCTTTGGGCAGCAGCACAATGTGCGCCCTGTTGATGCAGGAGAGATCGGCCGACGAGGAGTAAAACCCGTCGAAGAGCCGCATGATGTCGCCGGCCACCGTTGCCCAAGCCGCTTGATAGAAAGCTGGCCCAAGGCCGTCGGGACCAGGGGCACTTGTCCTATCAAGGGCGCGGACGGCGTCCTCGACCTCCCGCAGCTGGAACGGGGCTTCCAGCCTTGCACCATCCACCATGGGCACCCCCAAGTAGAGAGCGGCCAGGTCGAAGCCCCAGACGGGCTCCCTGACCGTGCCCAAAAGGGCGGTGTAGAAGGCGTGCAGGGCCTCGGCTTTGGCAGCATGGCCGACGACCACCGTGCCGCCGACGTCCAGCTCCCGGATCTGGTTCGCCCGGAAACGTTGCAAGGCCTGGGCGTGGAAGAACCGGGTGTTCTCGTCCCCTTCACCCACCCGTCGGAACTTCCCACGCTGCTGCCAGAACGCGGCCTGTTGGCGCACCGAGAGGGCTAGGGCGGCACGAGCGTCCCGCCGGAGATCACATTCATCC